TGGTATTCTCTAGAGTGTTTAGAGAATTCTTCAATCAATTCTTTAATCACCGGGGGTGGCTTCTTTGTAAGTGGGCCTTGCGAGTCTAGCAATTGCCGGGTTGTGACCTTGACTCCATCATAGAAGATGGAAACTTCTTGCTGGCTGTTTAGATCATGGTGTGGGCAGTTTCTTAGCAGACCTTTGTACCTCTCCCATGCTTCATATAAAGACTCTCCAGCTTGTTGTTCAAAGTTTGCAATGGCCTTCTTTAGTTTGGCTATTTTGGATGGTGGGCAAAAGTGATCAATAAATTCTTCCTTCATTCTGGCCCAAGTAGTGACTGATCCGGGGGGAAGTGACTTGAGCCAGTCTTTAGCAGCACCCTTGAAGGTTACCAGAAGCATACGAAGTAGTTGAGTTTCGCGAGTTACATTTGGAATATTGAAGTAATCAGCAACATCATTTACTTCATCCAAATGTTTGTAGGCATCTTCATGATCTTTCCCATAGAAAGGTATTTCCTTGAGTGAAGCTAGGATATGACCTTTTAGCTCGAAGGTAGCAGTCGCGGGAATTGCGGGTTGCACAAGTCCCGGGCCATGGTCGTCGCGCATCCTCTTCTTCCATTCTCCCATGGGGATTTCATCAATGTTAGCCATAGTGAACTCTAACTCTTCCTCCGACTCGGTTTCTTGCTCGTACGTTGTCTCCTCTTCTTCCTCGGTCTCGTATCCAATATCTTCTTGAATTGGCTCCTCAATTATCAAAGAAGCGCTAGAAGCTCCTGATTTACTGCTCTTCTTTTTCCCAAACACAGTCTTCAAGTTGGACAATGGTGATTTCTTTGGTGTGCTTGAACTCTCCACGTCCTTCCTTTTTTTTCTTTTCAATGCGGATTCGGGGTCTTCAAACGGGGGTACCAGTGGTGTGTTTGCTCCTCTGGTCATGAAAGTCCTGAAATCAATTAAATAAAAAGCGTAAAAAGAACAAAAAGATTGTAAAAATAAAGAAAATCTACTGCTGAGTAAACTGCTACTCGCCGAGTAGGTGCAACTGCACTCGGCGAGTATCAGTGATATTTCAAAAAAATTTCTAAGTTTTAAACTAACTAAAACAGATACTAAAACCTAATTACTAATTACTAAATTGCAATAAATGAACTTTATGCAAGTAAACTCACACAAAGGATCGAAAAAATTAGGAATTAGCTTAATTATTTAGAACCGTTCCCCGGCAACGGCGCCAAAAACTTGATGTGTGTAAAACCAACTAGTTTTATCCCTACTTTTTATTAATAATTTGAGCACACAAAGGCAGTGAACCTGTCTTTAAGTGGTATAGATTGATAAGTAAGGTATCGAACTCAGGGAACGGAAAATTAAACTAATAACTAATTTTAACTAAAACAAATAATAAAAGTAAAGGGTTTTTCTCTAGTTTTGCAAGACTAGAAACTTAGACAAACTAAATTAACTAATTAACTAAAGCAACAACTATTCACCAAATTTGATAAAGATGTTTCTATTTAGGTTCAACCAATTCACTCCTATGGTTATTTAAGTTTAAGTAGATTAATTGCTATTGGTTACCAATTATAATAGTTAGGTTCATATTCATTACTCCTAACCCTTAGACAATTAACTAATTTAAGCGTTGATCAAGTGTTTAAACTAATTAATTCCCTAGATTAATTATTTGGATTAAATAAGATTTGTAATGGTCAATTAAGTTATTAATTCAATTAACCTCTTGTTGATGGTTTCTCAAACAAGCTCACACATTAATCTTCCTATTTTCTTATTAATCTTAGTTTCATAATCATTACTTCTAAGCATATGGTTTAGCATTCACATAGACATATGAGGTTAACAATTAAGTGATGTTCATGCAACCTAATTGCCTTCCAATTAACAGAAAATAGTAGTGATTAATACATAAGGTTCTTTAACAAACTTAATTTAATAAATCACCAAAAGACAATTAATCAATAATCAATAATCAAACCATAGGAGTTCTTTGGTATTCCCCAAACAGAAACAAAAACGAATTTAGCTCATAATTGCAGTAGAAACACACATAAAAACAAAGTTTACTAAAGCAAACATGTTCAATTCCTAAGTCTAAGTGGTAGAATTAACCTAATTGCTTGAATTCTTCCAAATAGTGAAGCCTAGGGTTCCTTAGCGCCTTCTGAATCTCTTAGTCGCAGCTAAACCTTCAAAAATCGCCAGGAGTCCCTTCCCATGAGATAAGGATTCGTGTTTTATAGATATCCCAAAACAGGGTGTACTCGGCGAGTAGCAGAATCAACTCGCCGAGTAGATCCATACTTATCCGTCTTGAATCAGCAGTCGTATTTATCTTCTGGAATATCCTCGTGTACTCGCCGAGTAGGGTCGATCTACTCGCCGAGTGTATCACCTTCTTTCACTCTTCAATCTTAATTGCTTTCTTTTCTCCTTTTTGCTTCCAAGCATATCTTTTGGACTGAAAACACAATTCACAACATTTTAAGTACCTTTTGTCCACATTATTCACATAATTAATCAAAAATAACTAAGAATATATGCTAAATAATTAACTAATTATGCACATATCAGTGAATATACTATTTAATATTCATAACTGAATATATCATCTAATATTCACAAGTGAATATAGTATGTAATATTCACATGTGATATACCATGTAATACTATGTAATATTCACATATTAAATATTATTTAATACTCATAAGTGAATATATCATCTAATATTCACAAGTGAATATACTATGTTAATATTCACAAGTGAATGCATCGTCCAATATTAAAATATGAATATATTATGTTTATTATATGATATATTCATATATGAATGATACTTCAATTGTAAAAAAAAAAATCATACTTTTTATTCATAAGTGAAAAACGAATGTACTGTAATAAAATCTGATACATTTTTATTCACTTATGAATAACGATAGCTGAGAATATAAAAAAAAAAATTATTTTATCTTAAAACTATATCAATATGGATGTCTATTTGTAGAGAATAAAAAACATGAATGTTTGTATATTTAAAATTATTTTTTAATAAAAAAGCTTGTAAAATTTAAAAACAAAAACGAAAGAAACTATGTTTTTGTATATATTAAGGTAATGAATAGTATAGTTTAAGGAAATATGTTTTGTTAGAAAACACATGTGCATTCCTTTTCCATTTCCGCCGGTACGTTGGAGACTTTTGCGGTAAAATCACTACAAGAAAAAGACCCTTTAACGACGCGCAAACCACGACACTCATTGATTTATGTTACGCAAAAGAGAGTGACATTAAAAAAATGTCATCTCTTTAAAAAATTTAAGGATTTAGATCACGCATTATTGGGTGCCCTTAAATTAGTGTCTAATGTAAAAAAAAAAAAATTAAAAACACGGAGGGCACTTTATATAAAAATGCACGCCCTCTATAAGTGTCGCTTTATAATTTTAAAGAAAAGCGTGTTTAGTAGATACGGGGGAAACGAAATCCTCAAAATTTTGAAAACCCGCTTTTCTACCTTCTTTCTTCTTTCATCTCCGGCTCTCCGCAATCGATTCTCCCCTCTCCCTCCTTCTCCATCTTCTCCAATCCGCTTCACCATCTTCAGTAAGTCAACCATGGAGAACTACCAAAAAATTGAAAACCCCCGCCTGATACTCTCCTTCTTCTTTGTATGTTGTGAAATTCTCTTCGATCAAAAGAAACCCTAAAAGCATTGTGTGGATTCTGATATGCGATTTTTAGTTGTGAGGTTCCTGAAATCATATTTTTGACCTCAATCGATATTTTCATATTTTTGAAATTCTTAAAATCCTCTTCGATTAAACGAATCCCTAAAACCCCGCCTCATACCCACCTCCAACCCACACCGAATCTTTAGGCATCGCACGCCGACGATGTACATGCCTTATCGACCAACACTTCATCCACCATTACCATTTGTAGCTCTCTCACCCCATCTTCACTGTTAAACCTTGCGAAATCCTTATATAACATTCCGACGATAATCAGATTCCGGCGCTCTATGACTGTCGACGGGAGCAAAAACCTAATTTCAAGTCAATGGCCTGTGTGTATATTCTGGTACAGAACTCGGAGGAGGAGGTACGAGTGGCTTTGGACCAACTTCTTAGAGAAGGCAACTGATATCCTTGACATCTTAAGGCCGAACAAGTGCCTCTCGATCTCATTTCACCATTTATAGTTCCATTACAGAGTTTATAACTATGAACATGTTCTGAACAACAAGCGCCTCTCGTCATGCTTTTTCAATTGCAGATTCTGATTTTAGGTCATCTCCTCTCCTCGCCTCTTCTTTGTTTCTTTTCTATTCTACTTCTACATATATACTTCTTGTACAGAGGATTAACATTATTCCATTCTTAAATATTTATAAAATCGGTATTATTTGAAGTTCAGTGTTTATAGTTTAGTTAGATGCGAAAATCTAGTGCTCCTTCTTTAGTCTATTTATTTGTAAAGGGGATTTTTCTGATTTGGGAACCAAAACATACGAGACTGATGAATGGTTCAAACCTAAGCATCATTGATGAAAATTTTCTTTATATGGCACTTCTATTTTATTTCTTTTGCCAAATTGGCAATCTTGATGTTGATCTTCCAATCTAAGGGGAGAATTTGAATAGAGATCTATAATTAGGGCTTAGAATTGAGAAATGTTTAATTGCCTCGGTATGAAATTTCATAGATTAGAAGTTTTGTTTCGTATATAATTGTGTAGCAGCATATGAATTCTTAGAAATTGCGGAAGAACAGCGTCCTGATTATAAATGCATTTTTCAAAATTTTGAATTGAGGAAAATTTTGATGATTACGTTTACACTCTTCTCTCAACCATATCCTTGAGCAGATTTGGAACATTCAATTTCTTCATAACACTAAACCTATTCTTCTATCAAACTTAATGATTATATGAATTCTTCAATTTGTTTTCACATCCACTGATCCAAATCTTCTTCAAATTCAACAGATCATGCCTGGGCAGAAGATTGAAACAGGTCATACATATATAATGCATGATGTTTGTATGAATTACTATGGAAAACGAGTAGCATCCACCTCCTCTGATGCCACAATCAAGATAATCAGTGTCACCACCACCATCAGCACCGCCACCTCACACCTCCTTACCACATTGACATGTCACAATGGTCCAGTCTGGCAGGTTGCATGGGCCTACCCTAAATTCGGGTCCCTTCTTGCATCACATTCTGATGGGATTCTTCTGCAGCACATTCTGCTGGGGGATTCTACAACCAAAGTACCTTCTTTTCTCAACTATATAAATTATTTTATGGGTTTGTCTAATTTAGTTTTTTTTTAATGTTTGATCAGATTATGAATTGAGAGGTTACAAAATTAGTGTGGGAATGGCTGAGAAATCTGCTCCAAGGGCTCCTCCTGCTCATTAGCACAAGTCAAAATTTGATATCACTGGGTCAATTTTGTATGTTATTTCCTAGTGTATACCTGATAGAAAAATTCCATATAAAATATTAAATTTCTTAAAAAAGAAGTAAGTAGCATTTGAAAATTCCATATAAAATATTAAATTTCTTAAAAACTAAGTTAAGTTGTAGCATACCAAAAACAATCTATAAATTGCAGGAAGTATACACAGTTAGTGTGAATAATATGTTATTTTTGCTACTTTAGTAAGTGATACTATATTTGTATTTTTTACTACTTCAGGGGATTGAGAAATTTGAGACAGATCTTAAGACCATGCACCCTAGTTTGACTGGATGCCGTGTTTTGAAGTCAAAATTGGAGCTTTCTGTAATCCAATATGCCAATGGTATAAGTTCTGAAGCTCACACTGAGGTATATATCATTATCATTCCACTATGTAATGACTAAACTGAAATTAGCTCATTACTAAATAATCTTCAATTTCTCAGTGCATATTATAACATTATAAGTTGCTTGTATATGGTGATTTCATCTTTTGGTGATATTAAGTAACTACTTTTGGAGTAGGTAATGAGGAAAATGAAACCAGAAATGAAGAGTATCAGATGGAAAAGCATATTTCTTCACCACACCAAAACTCTTTTGGTTTATCATCCAGAAGAACTTCATAATTTTTCAACCCAACACCAAAAGTCGTTTTTTTTTTGTTTTTTTTTTTGTATTTGTTTTTTTTTTTATCGTTGCTGTCCATTTCATATGTGCTACTGCTCCAAAAGTCTTGTGCCAGATTGGGTTTATTTTTATTTATGGTTTTATCTTTTTTCAGATTTCCTTGTGGCTGTTTTTTTTATCATGGAATAGAGATATAAGTTTACCCTTCCACTTTGCCATTTGCCATTGGTGTGGAAAATCATCATCATCATAGACGTGGTGTAAGGAAATCGGCTTCTAGGGAGGGTAGTAGTAGTAGTAATGACAACAATTTAATATATTGCCCTGATGCTATTGACTTAGAAGACAAAGATTTTGAACATTTTCAAATGCATTGGAGAAGAGGCTAACCAGTTGTGGTTAAAAATGTCCTAAAAAAGACATGTGGACTTAGCTGGGAACCAATGGTGATGATGCGAGCTTTTTGGAATGCTAAAAAAAGGTTAAATGAGGAAAATCAATGTGTCAAAGCTATCGACTGTTTGGACTGGAATGAGGTAAGTTTTATATCCCTATCTTTTAAGTTTTAACAATTCATTTTTTTATTTATTTGCATAAAAAACTTGTGTTTTTTTTAAATCTTCTATTTATTTTCATAAATATAAAACTCTAGACTTTATGCATCATCACGACTCAGTTTCTTTTCATCTATTATTTGTAGGGAAATGTTTTGGAACATATACTAATGTTAGGTGTTGAAAGTCAATGGGCACCTGTTGTCGTACATTGTGCGGTGAGATAACTTATTCCATGTGCTTTTGATTCATACGTTTTATACTTAAGAAAAAAATAATAAAAAGATATGAAAGTAGGTTTCTATTTGAGATACATACATAGGTGATCTGATTTTTGGACACCAAAAGAATCTTGAATGCATAGGTGATCTAAAAGCTCCACAACAGACAAGAGATGAACAAGTTTCTAACCTTCGTGCATAACTTGGGGTGATAAATGGTAGGTTTTTATTAAAAATTTGAACTTTTTTAGATTTTTTTTAATGTTGTCTATTTTCTCTCATATTATGTTTGTTTGAATTAGAACTTAAAAGAAGAGATCTCAGAGGCCATTGATCAGCTAAGGGAAGTTGAATATGAAGTCATTATCACATGTTGTAAAAAAATTCGTTTATTTTATTCTTCACCCTTCTACAAGCCTTTTTAACATGTTGCAGGAACCTAAACCTAAGAAACAGTCCGCTCCTACAGCTAAAATTGGATCGAATAAAAAACCTGTTAGTAAACCTGTAAGTAGTTCAGATGAATCTGAATTTGAATCTAAATCATCGGATGATAGTGATTCATCAAATGAAGAAGTGAGTCAGAGTGTAAATCTCTTGGCACTTGGATACAGTTTGTCTAATTTCACATTAATTTTGTCACTTTTTAGCAGCATTCTCTACATGATACATGTTGTTCTCCACTTTTCTAAGTATTCTTCTATGTAATTTAGGAGGCGCCAAAAAAGCCAGCTGTTGTTGCCAAGAATGGTGCTGCTGCAGCCACCAAGAAAGCCAAGTGAAGTGATGCATCTGATTTAGAAGACAGTTCAGATGAAGTAAGAGACCTTTTTGGTTTTGTGTACAATTTTTACCGAGTGAAGTGATGAGTCTGTCATAGTTACTTTAAATAAGGTAGTGTGTTTGGTATGCAGTAATCAAAGAGGGAATGGAATCAAGCATTACAGTGTAATCTGATTCCTGCAATTGTTGCTGCAATTGATGCTGATTTCTTATTGTAAGTGTTGTTGCACTCTTCTGTTGATTTCTAAAAGATACCAAAGGGTACAAATGTTTTTTTTCATGAATAAGAGCTATTTATGTTCTTCTTCTTCTTCTAGTTGTTGCACTCCTCCATTCTTCATTATGGGTACGCAGCAGCTCCAAATGACAGGGTATAATTAATTTTACTTCTTTTATTATATAGAAGTTTATTTAGTGAATTCTTTTGGTTTATCGTCTAGAAGAACTTCATACTTTTTCAACCCAAAACCAAAACTCGTTTTTTTTTTTTTTATCATTGTTGTCCATTTCATATGTGCTACTGCTCCAAAAGTCTTGTGCCTGATTGGGTTTATTTTTATTTATGGTTTTATCTTTTTTCAGATTTCCAAGTGGCTGTTTTTTTTATCATGGAATAGAGATATAAGTTTACCCTTCCACTTTGCCATTTGCTATTGGTGTGGAAAAGGGGTTTGGTTTCAGGTGATAAATGTTCCTCTCTTTTGGACACCCACTCAAGCATGTGTTTCCTTTTTTTCTTTTTCATAGGTATATTTTCTCTTTTCAAATTAATGTTTGTTTATTTAATCTTTATTTTATTTTTATAATTTATGTAAAAGGCGGCAGCTTAGACGAAATGTATAATCATATATTACTTAAAGACCAAAATATTTACTATTATAATCAATAATCGATTATCTCGTTTCATGACATCACTTAAAGTTTTAGATAAAAGATAAAGATTCATTTTTTTTGTCAATTCATATAAGATTGTTTTATATATTTACTAATTTATATAGAGTATTTTTTTATTAATTTAAACACTTGACACAAATTACACATTTCAACCAATTAAACAAGTTGTAATTAAAGATGATGATAGTTTGTAGTATTAGGTATATATAAAATCACAATGCCCCATAATATACTCCACAAATTAATATTTTACCCCTTTACCAATATTGAAAGTATGTTGCTATTTTCAGCAATTTTCCCATAACATACTCAATATTGTACATGTATATTTGCATATATGCAGGTGGGTGTATGAAGGAGTATCCTTTGGGAGTTGTACTTGAAGCCACCAAAAATACTTTGATTCAAGGCAGTACAAAACACTTATTGGTAGATCATTTTGATTCCACTCTCATACATACATACCATGTGCATTATTAATTAGTTGATATTGATATTGTACAACTAACATGATTGCAAGGTTGATGATGAAAGCGAATAGCTCTGGAGTTAGAAGAGGAAAAGAAAACTCAAGCTGAAAGAGATAAGATGTTGCAAATGCAAGTGTTGCATTCTTCATTCCAACTGTTAATATGAAACACGAAGTAGATTAGATGAATGCAAATTTATATATTGTAAGAAATAGAATTATATGACATTAAACTTTATGCAATGGATTGTATTTTTTGTATATGGTATTTTATTTCTATTATGAGACATTAAATACAAATTTAATTTGAAAATTAGTAAATCTATAAATAATGTTTTTTTAAACATTTAAAATTATGATACGCAAAAATGTGTGTCATCTTCATTTATGACATGGCCTTTCTTGACAGGAGCTTTCTTGATACGCATTGCGTGTCATTAACACGCGCGTCGTAAGGTTACGACACGCGAATGCGTGTCTTCTTTCTTTATGACATGGCCTTCCTTGATACGCATTGCGTGTCGTAAACGCGCGTCGTAATTGCGCGTCGTAAATGCGTGTCGTCTATAGACGACGCGCAAAAGCGTGTCATCTCTCTTTATGACAGGGCCTTCCATGACGCGCATTGACTCAGAATGATTCCCTATTCTCATCTCTTTTTTTCTCAATTGAACCCTCCCATATATATACATACATACATATATATATATATATATATATATATATATTGATCAGCTTATAGATCGGCGACTCGGCGAGTCCATATTCGGGACTCGGCGAGTCGGCCTGCTAGGTAGAAAACCCTAAATCCCCGGGTTTGCACCCTATTTAAACCACCTTATCAACCCAAACTCGCCTCTTTCATCCTCAAAACGTTATCTAAGAAAACCCTAATCATCCCATTGAGTTTTTGAGCATTCTTGGTGTAATTCTTGAAGTTTTGAAGAGAAGAAGAAGGCTAAATCCAAGAAGAAGAAGAAGATCCAAGTCCTTGCACCCATCTCAGAGTACTTTGAGGTAATGATCAGTTTCTTCCCGATTTGTTGATAGATTCCCCTTTATAAGCATATTTAGCCCATTCTTTAGCTTGTTTAGTAGAGAAATCATATTGGATGGATTAGCTTCGAATCTAGCCATGTTA